TTAATATTTTATAATCTTAAAATTATCTGAAATTGCAGCAAATGGTTACTATATCTAATGAATTACTATAATTGATTAATTTTGCTTCTAAAATACTGGTATTAATTAATTAAGAAAATTACTATTGTTTGGTCACTAACTATCTAATACTTGAATACAAGTATGTTTAATTTTAAAATACGTTACATGCATTAATTATAGTTCAATATTAACATTAGCTGCAATGTGTCCGCCATCGACCACGAGTATAGTACCCGTAACAAACTCAGCTTGATCACTGACCAGGTATGCAATGGCATTGGCAATATCCAAACCCTCACCGGCTCGTCCCACCGGATATGTAGCACAAAATTTATCCCACATAGCATTCTCCTGGTCTTTAGTCAAACCAAAGTTAGCCTGACCATAATTGGTACGAACTCCACCCGGACTATAATTACCGTAAACATAGTTTGTTATAAATTATTACTTATAGTAATGAAAATAATTTTTTAAATAAAACGTGCAATACTTGACTGAATTAACTCTAATCCCTTTGACCCCCAACTCTGCGGCCATACATTTGGTGAACATATCGAGCGCCGCCTTTGACATACAGTATGACGTGAACAGTTTTCCCTGTTTTGGGGGTTCAAATCGGTTATTATATCATCAAGTAAAATTGTAAGGCTTGAAATTTAAGTTTACGGCATCAAATAATACCGTATTACTGGTTGTTTTTATAAAAATTGTTTTAATATTATCTAAATTAAATTAATATTAGGACAATCATTGATGTTATGCTTACAGTTACTAAACTCGCAATACTCGAGATGTTGATTATATTTCCCTTTGATTTCTCCAAATATGGGACAGAAATGTATGTCAAATATACGACAGAATTCACGTTTGTATTGATAACCGATTTGTGGTTTTTAATGAAATTCTCGTCAGTTATAGCGACCAAAGAGCCGGCGCCGGCATTGTTCACCAGAATATCTAATTTTCCGAAAGTCTTGATAGTTGTGTCCAGAAGTCTGTGGAGGTCTTC